GGTCTGCTATTGGAATTGTACGAATTGGTGTGTTCACAGTACCCCAAAGGTACCTCAGTTTGTATACTGAGGTCTGCTGTTGGAATCGTATGAATTGGTGTGGTTGCAGTACAAAGGTACCTCAGTGCCTGAGAGCCGAGGTCTATTGTTGGCATTCTACGAATTGGTAGCATCGCAATACCGTCTAAAAGGTGCCTGTTGTTTGTACACACAGGTTGTCTGTTGGAACTCCACAAATTGGTGTGGTTGCAGTCCCCTATACCCACTCTTAGTGATCGCAAGTAGCATCCTAGGAAGTAAAACCTGTTCCTAGGACACATAAAACCCATATAAACCCCATTGCTTCAGTGATTTGGTAGCCCAATTCAGTTGTTTATCAACTATCATTGCCTCCCACAAGTCCTAAACAGACTCCAAAGTCTGATTCATCCAATATCAATAGTGTTGATTCAATCTTAGTTGCTGCGGCGTAGACCTGAACTCAAGTCCGCACTGTGTGTTGTGTGTGTGTTGGTTGGTTGGTTTGGTGTTTTGCACCACTCTATATCAATTCTAGTACAGGCCACACTCAAGTGCACCATTTCACTGTGGCACTTGGGTTCTACCTCGAGTACCAGGGAAGACTGGTGTGGAGCTAGTGCTACCAGTGATGCCTTCCCATCTACATACCTCCCTCATGGATGCAGACCCACAAATCCACGACACAAATTTTCTGGAGATTGATCTCATTGTTGGCACTCTCAAACAAGCTCGGGTAGTCTTTTATGCTTATGGGAAGTCACCCAGTGGTCTTATATAGGTAGAGAGCCCATGAGATTAATCTACTTAACAACCCCTATGTTGAGAATAACCCGGGTTGTTGGATCAATTACAACCCCAAGACAAAAGACTGATGGTGGTGGTGGGATTAGTCTCTTATAAACAGACGCTACAACAATTCTTGCTCGTACCTCGCGTGTTGTAGTCTGTCGATTACTCAATCACTGACATTGGTACCTGACACTATTATGTAACCCCAAATTTCTCGGGTGTCGTTTCCACATTTACAACGTGTTTTCGCCGGTTTTTATGTTGGAATCTCATTCATGATACCATAATGAATAACTTCTCCTGCCAAATCTCACACACCGAGCTCAAACCCAAGATGTAGAATCTTGATGGGCAGGCACGTGTTTTGTTCAGCATTTTGCTTTACTTGGAAGCTCAACAGAGACATGAAATCTAAAGAGATAGTTCTCTTCAGAGTGAGCATAAAAAATACTTCGCCTCTTAGGATTTTGTGTTGAAGTGGCAGGAAGCGTTGAACGCTGCGGGTCATAATTCAAACTCCGCACTTTACATAATAAGTGGGGGTACCAATGACGTGCCACGCGGTTAACTACAGACTATGGCGGGATGGGCTTCTATTTATACGAATGATTGACCGTCTCAACCCCGTCCCTGCTATTTTTCACTTGTCAAAATTGGTCCACAATTGTGTGCTGCTCGTGGCCAAGATGCTCAAAGGTCTTCAAAGATTGTGGGGGAAAATCAGAAAAAAAATCAGAGGGCTTCGGAGTATTCAGCACACATCGACCATGGTTCACCTCGATTTGAACCGTTTTTGACCTCAAGCTGGCTGTAGGAGTGGTGCTAGCATTTGCTCTACGACAAATTCATAAATTGCTGGGGTTGTTAAATAGAACGGGTTGTTTCCCAACCAGGGGGTTGTTAAATACAGTTAAATACAATTAATCCCGAGTCCGTGACGTGACGTAGTAGTGACGAAAACCTCTCCTAAACATGTTCTCCTTCTACTCCTCCGGTCTTTGTAAAAATGTCATTCATACTCAGAGAAAGTTCTCCAGGGCTATAAAGTAAGGTACATTTTTGGTATCAGAATTCATTTTACCACAAACACCTTCAATAGTTCGTCTCTTCAACGCCCACGGCGTTTCTGGGACATGCATCTCCCCAAGGTCGGTCCACAACTTGAAGTCTACGGCATACCCATCTGACGTACATCAGACTGCTTTGGATTACGCTCCCCGTTTCAAACACGACATCGGGCTCCCGGAAATTCCGAATGTTGGCATTCCGAACGAGAACCTGCCAGAGCCGTGGACATGCGATTGGCGGGCGTGGGGTCTCCTGCCATATTGGCTCAGTCTCCCGGGTGGCATTGCATATCGCCTGCGCGACAGGTTGAATATCACCAACATGACCCCGCTCATGTTTCGGAGTACCGAGTCCAGCAGCGGGACCACGGTGTTCTGTGCCAGCGGAAAACGGGGACCGACCTTTTATTTGTATGATGAGCCTTCCGAGGACGTCTATCAGTTCGAACACGGGCTGTTACAAGACAGGTCGGCAAAAGAGTTTATAGAGAAGGCCGACTGGAACAAGATGACGTACGAGGGCACGCTGAGGGGTCCTTTTAATACACCACCCTCCACTAGCAAACCTGGACACGACAGTCACAAGTGCCTTCGTTTGGGAGACCTGACATCGGAGGTGCGCCTTTGATTTTTCTGGCAATGCATAACCATTGGACTTGTCTTTGGCAGACCTTGTGGAAATATGAACCACGCGTCATGCACGGTGCGTACGCAGCATGGCGCGCAACAATTGACGCCGCATTGCATCGGTGTTTTTTCATTCCCGATACACAACTCCCGGAGCCCTGGTCATGCAATTGGGAGGTTTGGCACGGATGGAAGTGGCAACTCCCCCTTTTGTACCAAGTCGAGAGGTGGTTTAATCTTCCGGATCCACTTAACGCCATCATGTTCAGAACCGTGGATTATACGACAATATTTGAATCGCGTGGGGTCTTCTACCTCTACGACGCATTCATGGGGATATCCCCGCGAATGTTTCGCTTTGTCGGCTGTTTTTCGTCGGTCGAAGATTTCATCGAGAGTGCTGATTGGAACGAGATGCAACGGCTGGAATACGAACCCCTAGCAGGTGCAGGTGCGTCCCTATCGAACTTCAATTTTGCCACTCACGATTGTCCTTTTAGGCCCGACCACGACGAATTGCCAGGTAACCTTTCCCCGCAGCTCCGGCGGAGGATTCCGCACCGCGGTAGACCAACCATAGTTGAGATCTATTTTCCTTGCGCTTACTTGATGATATAAACGCGCGCCCACAGCCAAAAACGCACGCTCTGGGATATGGCCCCCTCCAGGGTGAGTCACTTAAAGCCTCGGACAACAACCCAACTCATAATTCTCATGCGACAGGGTTCATGGGAATATCAGCCCCGCTTCATGGCCGAACGAGGATGCGATACGGATGCGGAAATTGATATAGCGCTCAGAAAATGGGGTTCCGTCCCCGACGAGCAGCTTCCAGAGCCCTGGTCATGTAACTGGGCGCGCTGGGGACATGTTGGCGAATGGTTCGAACAACCCTTTGATTTAGGGTGCGAAAAAGATTTGCAAGAGCGTTATGGGGTGGCTGGTCTCGTCCCAGTCATGTTTATCTCGTATGGCTACGACCGGGGTCCGATGATTTTGTCTGCTGACGACATCTATTATCTGTATAACCACTCTATGGACGACTGGTTAATGCGGTTTGATGGGACATACACAAGTGTGCAGGACTTCATCGAAAATGGGGACTGGAATAGGATGAAAATAATGGACGCCCTTCCACTAGAAGACTTCGAGGAGGAGGAGTTCTCTGTCTAGAATAATTATACTTTGATTTTATTTCCGCTACCATTCCTCGGAAAAATAAAGCGTATGTCGCCATCGTTGATTCAATTTTTTGTTGCCCCAAACTTGAACTATTTTTTTCGCAGAACGTTGACAGCGTCGAGCAAAAGTCCTGTCGACGCCTCTCCGGTCCTCAGTTGTATAAATGTGGCGAAAAATTGGTCAAAATGTTCGACAAGTCTTCAGCAGGCGAGGTACGAGCTCATCTGTTGAATTGACTGTCTACGAGTGACTACGACAAGTCCTCATATCGCTCTCGCACTTATGAGGACTTCGAAAGCTCTCAGATGCGGATCTTCCGTAGCTCCCTTGGTGCGAGTGGATCCCCCACATTATTACTACTGACCACTACACGATAATATGTTATGTTACCATCGTGCTGAAGTTCCTTCCTCTTCCTTCGCATCGAAAGCTCTCTCAAGACACTCACTAGCAAGTTTCTCACCTCGAAGTATCATGCAACAAGAACTTTCGAAGGTCCAAGCCCATTCTCGGAGAAACCATATGACTCTGGCATGTGCACGTTGAATTGTAGCCGACGCTGTAGCTCCCAGCCTCAGGACGAAAAATACCGCGAACCCACGCCGCCGTATGGTTGTGTTTCTGTGGCGGTTAGTGGTCACTTGGATATGATGATTCCCCTTGGAAGATCCCCCATAATCCGGGCGAATAGTTATAGTTACCTCTCAAAACCTTTCCCACCTCGAAATACTTGCTTATTTCCCACTCAGATCCCTGTCCGCCGAGACGTGGTCGACCTACAACGAATACCTAAACCAGCGTCGGCTGCATGATGCTCGGTTCAACCAGATTCAATTTTCAACGAAGCAAAAACATATATTTTCTTCTGGTGAGACAAAATAGAGTGATACAAGCATGGCAATCTGTCTTCTTCGAGCGCTGGGTACCATGCCGAAAACCATGATAGTGGGCCATGGGTGCTGGGTCAGAGCCTCATGTGACGGCATCGATATCCCCATTCGAGTCAGATCAGAAATATCAAGCCCAAAGCAGTAACCTTCGAGCAGTTCCTTGAATAGTCATGGAGGAGAAGGCTATCCGAGGTCAATTCGCAACAGAAATGCGTCATCTATTCAACACTCTCCTGAAAACTGACGTCCATTATACAGCGCAATATTCAGGTCTCAAATTGTGACGCTGCGGGCGGCTTGAGCTCCCGGAGGGCAGTCACCGCTCAGGAAAAATTCCACAGTACACCGCCACATCCCCAGTACACCTGCAGTCCTAATTTTTCCACGCACAGGATATCCTGTGCCGAATTGAGGCGTTCCAGTCGCCTCCATGGCCTAGTGGATCAGCCCCATCAGAGCGAGCTTTGTCTCGAGTTGATGTGGTCGAGGGTTCGACTCCCTCTGGAAGCACCAGGATGCATTAAATAAATGGTGCGTACTTAATCCTTACAAAGCACAAGCTGTCATGCTGAAAGAGGTGCCCTTCGGGGCTTTGGCTATAGCGGGGCGGGGCGGGATAAATTAAACAGACGGTGCGCACTTAATCCTTACAAATCACAAGCTACCATGCTGAAAGAAGGGCCCTTCGGGGCGTTGGCTGCAGGGCGGGGTGGCGAGTCGAATTAAATAAACGGTGTGTAGATTCAAAACAAAATAAATCGTCATACATTCTTATCTATACAATTCAATCACAGCGAGAGTACCAGAAAAAATACATTTTGTTTTATACTCCTCTGACAGACTACAGCCGCCTTCTTACATTGGAACAAGTAGCCGTAGCAGCCCTGTTACGCATCCTCGCCGTGCAGGCCAGCGTGATCGAAATGGACTCGCCCGCGCTCGACCTGGTCTATTGCCTCCTTGGCACTGACACAAAGGGCTCGTGGCAGAAGCCCCGATGATCCGCTCAAGGATCACCTGCAGCTGCAGCCCAAAGCACTGGCAGAGCAAGAACGACCTCGCCGAAAAGCAGATGCTGGAAGATATGGAGAATTGGTGGTATTAGGATAATATTACAAACGATACTTAAAACTATTCGTGCGACTGTCCACTGCGAAAATGAAAGTAATTGAATTAGAGACCGAATTACCGAGTAGTTGAATTGGGGATCGAGTAACTGAGGTTAGGGTTGAAAATCAAACCGAACAAAGCAAAAAACGGCCTTACCAAAACTGTTTTCCATTCTGGCAGCCCAAAAAATGACGATTGCGAGTCGGTGGTTTAATCTCCATGTGCAAGAGTATGCGTATGATATAAAAGTATTCGTGCGCCAACTTGAATCGGCAAGTAATTGAGACCGAGTTACTGAGTGGCTGAAATGAGGACCGCGTTACTGTGATCGAGGTTAGAATTGTACGGAAGGAATTGAACAAAGCAAAAACGGCCTCACTGAACGATATGCTAATCCATATTTTGGAGATCTGTCCATTCCGGCAGCCCAAAAAATGTCGGCAGCAAGTCCCAAAATGTTTCCAGCCCATCCTGATGTTTTGCTTTGGCGGCTGATTCACAGACAGCACAATAATTGTGTGGCCGTTCAGTCCACAAATGCTCCCATGGAATAAGAGCATATAAAGCAACCCTGTTGGGAAAATGCCGGAGGAAATCTTGGCATGTTTTCAGGTGCGCTCGGGAGCACAAGTCCGGTGAGCTACAAGCTGGCTGGGGAATTGCGATGCCGCCTAGGGCCCACGCCAGATTGTGGTTCTCTTGAGCTAAGAGCAGGCTTTCAAGGCCCAAAATTAGCTTAACTCTGACTCCATCCGCGACGGTCGCGACATGTGGTGAGCCGGCCGCTTCACTGTTGATTCCGGTGAAAAGGTCTTTCTAATCCACACTTTAGGATGTCTTGGCACAGGATTGTTGATTAGGCGCACCAGACTGAAACCATTGAGACAAGAGTATGCGAGTGCGGGAATACACGAGTGTAGTCCATTTTCGTAAGCCAGGTTCAGCAGATCCAACTCCAGGCCATTATAAAGATCGATACGGGAGAGGTTCAATGGCGCTAAAAATTCTGCGAGTGAAGAACATCCCCAATAGTGGCGAACACGCGATACCGCATCGTCTTTAAACTTTGGGATATCGTATTTCCGCCCCAGTCGTAACATCGCGGCTACGACATGGAATGGTTGCGAGGGTTTATTGTGGTATCTGAAGATTTATTAAATCAGCAGTGAGACTCTTCATGTTTATCGGCTTACGGGTCATAGAAAGCTGCGAGAATGATTTCGACATCTTGGACGGAATCACCGGTCAAGTGCACGATGGGATACCCTTCTACGGTGGCTTCATTTGGAGGCTGAGGGAGGGAGAACATGTCGCCGAAGACCGAGGAGTGATTGGATAGGATACTGCATTATTTCAATCAATTCAACCTAGTGCGTGACGCGTGACCCAAATTACCAATTCGACCATTCGACCAGCGCCAAATTTAGCGTGACAGACGCGAAAAAATTCGACCAGCGAACGAAAAATTTGGCTTTTTCACGCTGCGGGCGGTCCGCGTGACAAACTTTGGGTTCGACCAGCGGGTGCGTGACGCGTGACACGGTACCAATATTCGACACCGACCAAGGGGTGCGTGACGCGTGACGGTCGAATTGAATGAAAAAATACAGTATCGCGGTGGACACGAAATTGAATGGATTCCACCTGAATGACGATGTCGCCGTGAGACATCCAGATTTTGGAGCGGACGGGGGTCTGAGGTTCATCCGAGTTCAAGGCGGATCGTTTTCGCTTTAGTGGAGGAGTGGAATCGGGCATGCTCGTCAAATGCTCGTGGGGTGAAAAGAGAATGTTGTCACACTGTGACGGGACGCGACGGTGACCGGATAGGGGTAAATCACCATGCGTATGTTCGAACCTTTGCAAAGAAATGAAACGGAGGCCGAGAATTGAGAACAATTAGATATTCAGGACGAGACATTATTTTCAAATTACTTTAGTGGGAATGACACGGGAATTTCAACTCGCCGTGTGACACAACAACCAACAACTTGACCGCCACTGCCAACTTGAAGCCCGCTAGTATGCTTGAGTTTAAATCGCTGTGCGTTCGTTTCTTTTCGACGAGTCTTAGCTCACATGTTCGTAGTCCAACTTCCGATACTGTTGACCCACCTCCCCCCCCAGACGCTACAAAAACCTATTTCTATGGTTATAAATTCTTTGAGGGATTCGACCCCAAATGTCCCGAACACCTCGAACGTGTGGGCCGAATCTTGGTGGCGGCGGGTCGTCTAATGATGCACGCCCATGTCATCTACAATCCATCGGGTGTGCTCGTTTTTTTAGCCCTCTTCGACCCAACCGTCAACATCATCACGCCACGACCCGGCTCCTCGAAAATTCCATGTCATCGTCTTCTCCAAGATTTTCAAAAGGACGTAGGTATTGACTTTGGACCCTCGTGGCACCTCGAGGACGGCCTAATTTTTCCATTGGGAGTAGGTCATCTCTTCAGTTCTTGAACGTGAAACTGATTTTTTTTTTTTTATCAGTCTAATGCTAAATGTAAGTGTTGTCATATCAAAGGGAACTTGGCCCTCATCCGCCGCACCCCCAGCATATTTGAAAAGCATCCAGCCAATGGAGGGTCTATGGGCCTTCTCGTGTTGACGTGGGCATGTTATTGTATTTGAATCATGAACCAAGATTTTTTCATCTTAACTATTGACGCGGTCTGCACCCCGCTACGAAGGATCTACAAGCTTTGTAGACCGGTGGTACCCTGGACTGTACGCCGTTCATTTGACGCTAACGTGAATCGGCACAATATTGAGAATAGCCTGAATGATGACATCGCCGTGAGACATCCAGCCGAAGACTTATCCGAGTTCAAAGCGCTTTGGTAGGTGAATTGAGAACAATTGGATATTCAGGACGAGACATCATTTTAGATCCAAAAGACGAGACATCGACAGCAAAGACAAAGCAGATACATCGAAAGCGTTAAGAAATAGATAGGATGAATCCTGTAGGAGAAGGAGAGTTATGCCGTGGCCATTGTGCTGTCCGGGAGGGCCGCATCATCTTCGACGAGGGTCGTCGGGGTGTCGTCGTCCGGTACCGCGTCACTGCCACCAATGAATACCGTTTCATCGCCGCTCAAGTTAGGCAGGACGTAATCCTCCTGCTCGACGGGATGCAGCTGCCCGTCCTGCTCATCATCGAACTGGAGCTCCTCGCCGGGGCCCCAATCACCGCCACGGAGCACGAAGTCATCCTCGTCTTCGAGGAGCGATGCGTGTAGGGCACGCATTCGCTCCGACGCGTCCTGCACATTTCCCTCCAGCTCGGCAATGGCGCGGTCCAGCTCCCCGACGACATGCCGGCGCATCGCACCCTCAATTCGGGGTTCCACAGCTGTATATGACATGGATCCTATCAGCGCAATCCATGATTTTTGGTGAGAAACTCACGCATTTGGAGCTGGGCCTCTATCGCGTCGAGCCGGGCCTCTGTTGCCGCAAGGCGGGCGGCGAGAGTTGCGCGCGTCTCTGTCCTCCCGGCACGCGGGGTGCGCTTTTTGTCGCGTGCAGGGGCCTGCTTCTTTTCGTGTACACTCGGTTTACCGTCAGACAGTGGCGCTGGCAGTATTTCTCGTCCCGGCTCGGATTCAGCTTGGAATTCGGGTTCGGGTTCGGGTTCGGGTTCCTCGGGCTCGAGGGTCTCGCGTCGTTTGCGATCCGCGCGCGGTGGGCCCAGCAGCACAAGGCGCTTTTGCGGGTGGGAGGGACTGAGGAGTGGTTCATGGGTGAACAGTGGCGCCGGCAGTATTTCTCGTCCCGGCTCGGATTCAGCTTCGGGTTCAGGTTTGGATTCTAGCTCGAGCTCGGGCGCGAGGACCTTGCGTCTTTTGCGATCCGCACGCGGCGGGCCCGATGGTGCAGCACGCTTTTGCGGGCGGGAGCGAGGACGACTGAGGAGCGGGGTGTCGATAGCCGTTGTAATTCCGGTCGGCGCTTTCCTCACGCGCGGAACTGCAAACGTTGCAAAGTCAGAGACAATGTAGAACAACAGGTGCGTGGAATTACCCGGTGTTCTGGGGGACGAGCGTACTTCCACGCTGCTGAGAGCATTCGACGCGTTTGCTTGTTCGTCCACGGGGATGTCTTTCGCGAGCTTTTTCTGGGAAGAGTACAGAGAGTGGCCAAGCTTGAGAACCTCTTCTGCTTTCTTCCAGGAGACATTGAACCTGTGGCGTATCATCCACTGGCTGAATACGTTGCCCCGAGAGCACAACTGTTTTCTCGACGAACACGAATCGCACCGCAGATTGCCTAGGTTGGTCGTGCACTGGATGTTGCGACTTATACACGAAGTGCACTCCTACACGGAACGCCCTCAATTATGTACTGTAGGAGGAAAGCGAGAAAACTCACAACTATCTGCGTTTTGTTAAA